GGTGCGCAGGACAAACACACGCTGCACGTGTACTCTGTGAACGGGCGGCACCTCGCCTCCCAGGGCCTGTACGAGCAGCTCGCCGACCTGTGCGTCGCAGGGGAGCACGTGGTGCTGGGCAGCATGCAGTGCAACCTGTCCATACGGCACCTGCACAGGTACCCGCACGCTCGCTCACCTGTGTGGGTACAAGACTCGCCCGTAAGGGTAGGCCGTGGTGGCAGACACGTGCTCACCCGCATGGGATAACCGTTATGGGTGGCGCAAGCCCTCGCCTGCAAAATCCACCTTGCGATTCATCTCTTCCCATGTCCCCACCATGCCCTCACTTCCCCGTGCTCCCCTCCATTCCGCCCCGTTCCCCTACCTCCCCCGTGGTGGCAGCCTGGAGGAGGTGACGTCGCTGGCGATGCGCGTGCCCGTGCACTGCGTCTCCGTCACGAAAGAGCGCAGCCACGTGCTCGTCGGCCTGGCCGACGGCAAGCTCATCTTCGTGGGCGTCGGGCGGGCACCCGAGGTACGCGTGCATCCGCTGTCACGTGCACGCACGTAGTCGCATACATACCCATTCACTCGCACACAGCCACGCACTCACACGGTCACTCGCACAGCCACTCGCACGCACACACACACGCACGCGGACTGCTGCTGTTGTTGCCAAGGCCCCACATTCCTCATTGCAAACAGCAACGTAAGCACGCACTAACCGTGCCTTCCCACGCATGTGTCTGCGCGTGTGCGCTGTCACAGATCCGATCGGGGCAGCTCCGCAAGCTGTGGGGCAGCACCAAGAGGATGAGTCAAGTGTCGGCCGGGGAGACGCGGTACAACCCGTCGTGAACACGCTCCCCACCCCTTCCCGGCCAACGCCGCCCATCATCGCCCCGCGGTTACGGACCCTCCGTCTGCAATGCCGCCACCGCGTGCGTGTGTGCGTGCAAGGCTTGTGTGTCTGTCTGTCTGTCTGTTGGTTGCCTGTGTTTGGAGGTTGCTGGCCGGGTGGCCGGGTGGCCAGGTTGGTGTGTGTGCTCGACAGCTGATCGGCTGCGTTCGATGCACAGGAAGGAGGATTTCTATCGTAATGGTTACATTTTGCACTTGTGGAAGGGGAACGTGGAGACATTTTAAACTCGCGTTCGAAGGAGCCAAGAGCCCCATCGTCCGGGCTCGCTCGTCTCGTCTCTGAACGATGATTTTTTTCCCCACCACGGATTCGCTGTCATGCAGCGTTAATCACGGAGCGGGCCCCGGTTCTGGCCCTCGCCGAACTAATCGGAGGAAGGCCGGCGAGACGGCGCAGTCGGGGCCACGTCACACTTTTGCTGCGAGCGACACAAATGCACTGGGATTTACACTGTAGAGGCGCCTATCACTTTCAAGTGTAATTTTTTTTAATTGTTTTGATCCGGTTTTAAATGCAGTGAGGGCGAAGGGTTCCGCTCACCCACCGGGTATTTTCCGCGCACGCACACACGCCCCGTCACTCTGAGCAAGACGCGGCGCTCGCGCCCAGCCTAGGAGATGGAGCTGCCCATAGCTCCATGCTCGCCAAGGCTGCCCTCTTCCCACCGAACCTCAGCGCCGCCTCCCGGGCGAGGCCGAGCGAGCGGGTGCGGGCGCGTCGAGCCGCGGTGCGCAACGGGCCACCGACGCCGGGCGGCACGAGGCTGTGCTCGCCGCCTCCGCAGCTGCCGTAATGTTTCGTGGGGGCGGGGGCCGTTTGTCGGCCGCTGCGGCTGCCGATGTTATCTTGCTTGCAAGCGTGTGCCGGTTTCGACACGGGCGTGGGAGCGGTTGTGCGGCACCACAGTGACACCAGGGCCGCGCCGGGTGGGCGCGCTCTCGAGCGGGGGCGCCGGGGTTTTCCGCCCGTGCCGTGCCCCTCCGCCACGCGCCTCGTCCGCTTCTGGAACGTCAGCCCCTCCCGGCCGTGCGGCCGCAGTCACCGCTCCCATTATCCGAGGTTGCGGATGGAAGCCGTGCTCGCGACAAAATGAACAACGGTGTTCGAGGCCTTGTGCACGGGAGCTCCGCGCATCCTCACTCTAGATAACCCGGTAATTAAAAAGAGCCACAATAAATTCTAAATGTTCACCCCCGTACTACGTAATCGGTGGATACGTTTGTCACCCTATTGTGCATACGATTTGCATTGTCCACGTTTCAGTTAATTCCGAGCCCTGCCTGCTCCCCCCATCACCCTGGGTGATGGAGAGTGGACCGCACCGTTGTTGGCTGGGTGACCGATTGACGCGTCCGCGCCGGTGTACCTGTCCACCGAGCGTCGCGACGGGCGAGGAGCGCCGCTGTAGGACGCGGGAAGTGGGGCGGCCACCACTCGACGGGGAACGGCAACGGGGGAGGATGCAACAGCGAGCTCGTCGCTTCCCCGTGCGTGCGCAGCGAGGACCAATGATATCGACGCGATGAGCGTACGTGTTTGCGTGTCGACGGCGGTTCGAGGGCACAGGGGGCATCGCCAGCCAATGTGGGGGGCCGCTCTGTCCGCATCACCGCAGCCTCGATGTAGAACTCCACGAGTGGGATAGGGATGGGACCAGCAGGTTTTGGAGGTCACGAGGCGTCGATTGTGCAAATGCCGCCGGATCTGGCGAAAAGGGAAACGATGGATGGGCGCGGCGGTGGCGATGGCATCACCGGGCTTTTCCGCGGTGATCTTTCCAACGTAACCACCGCGTGGGTTTTCGCGGTTGCGCCACGCATCTCTGCTACGTGTCTCCGGGTTGCGCCACCGTACGCCGATCAGCACAATGGACGCGTGGAGCGAACCGTCGGACACCGTGACGAGCAATGCGCGGCACAAACCGAAAAAGCGGCGGAGGACCTCTTCTTTAACTTGGGTGCCTCCTCATCCGTGACGAGAAACAGTCTCCCAAGGGGGGCGGGGGGGGGGGCACATGCAGAGCAGAGGCGGGGGGCGACACTTCCATTCACTGGAGAGGCTCGGACACCCCCCAGAGTCGCTGCAGAATCGCCGCTCTGCGTGCGCGTCTCCTCATCTGCGCGTGCGGCGTGCGGCGTGCACCTTGATACCTCGCGTGTCCTCGCAAAGCGCCGAGAGTCGGACCAAAAACTTTTTGCGGCCGGGCCCCGTGGAGGAGGCTGGAGGAGCACTTTAAGGTGGCCGTGCATTTTCAGGTCGGGTTGTGAGCGGCGAGTTGGCGTGTGTCGGGGTTTCTTCACGGTCAGTCGAGGTGTCGGTGCGCGTGTGTGTGCGTGCTCAGAGGCGAATCAAGTTCAGGTGTTGTCTGCTGGGAGGTCTATGACTGCTTGGCCCGTCCTTATTTTATTTTCGTCCTGTACAATGAACTTGTAACGTTGGATTTTTTTATTTTATTTCTAATGAACCTTGAATTTTATGTATATATTGAAATATCGCGGTTTTAATAAAGATCTCTATTCTGTACAGCGTAACAACGCGAGCCCCACGTGCCGTTCTTGAGATGCGTTTACGTCGCCCGACGGTTGGGCAGAGCGAGTGGGCAGAGGCAGGGCACGGCCCGAGAGGGGACGGAGGCCGGAGGTGGAGACTCAAGCAAGAGTGGCAGCCAAAGGAGGGAATTCGCGCTCCGAGGGGACGTCCACCGCCGTTAGGCGATGGAGCGAAGAAATCCGCAGGTGCTGGGTGGATCGTTGCGTCGCTCGGTCGTGACATATGGCGATGGCTTGGAGAGGCCTTCATCCAGCAGTGGATGGATCGTGGCTAATGATGAAGACATCGGCACCCAAACAGTGATTGTAGTGAATTTGTAGAGTGGGTGAGTGGTGTCTGTGTGTCGTGAGTGTTGTGTGAGTGGTGAGTTTGTCGAATGGGGAGTATTTACTACGATAATAAGCCAAGAATGTGTCCCGTACGTGACGTCACTCCACATGGGGCCCACCCCCCTCATCGAGCTGAATTAAATAATTTATTACGCAAAGTCGCTTCAAATGACGTTTATTTACAGAAAGTAATCTACGCAGCACAGTGCTACATCCGTGCGTGACGTCACTGCAAAAGAGCCCCCTCCCCCCTTCATTAATATTCATGCCCGTGTGGAAATTTACACGAACGCACAAGGTCACGCACTCCACATGCCGCACCCCTCCACTCATTAATAATCATAAGCGGGTGACGTCACTCCACATGCTGCACCCCTCCCCAATAACCATTAGCGGGTGACGTCACTCCACATGGGGCAACCACCCCCCTCATTAATAATCATGAGCTGAACAATTTTTTATTGCATATTTCAGATTTACTGCAATTTACACCCGTCCTTCGACGGGCAAACAAGCTCGTTTACTTATAGTGGGTGAGTCGTGTGGTGTGAGTCTTTAGTGGTTTAGTGGTGTGTGTGCACAATGTGGTGAGCAGTGTTTGAGTTGTGTGGTGAGGGTCTCGAGTGAGTGGTGCAGATGGTGTATTTTTATAACTTGTGGTCAATTTGGTGAGCGGTGAACGAGTAGGCCGGATGAAGAGTGGTGGGTGAGTGGTGAGCTAGTAGGCTGGATGAATGGTGAGTGGTGAGCAGTAGGCTGGATGAATGGTGAGTGGTGAGCCAGTAGGTTGGATGAATGGTGAGCGGTGAGCGAGTAGGCCGGATGAAGAGTGGTGGGTGAGTGGTGAGCTAGTAGGCTGGGTGAATGGTGAGTGGTGAGCTGATAGATTGTATGAATGGTGAGCTAGTAGGTTGGATGAATGGTGAGTGGTGAGCCAGTAGGTTAGATGAATGGTGAGTGGTGAGCCAGTAAGCTGGATGAATGGTGAGTGGGTGAGTGGTGAGCTAATAGATTGTATGAATGGTGAGCTAGTAGGCTGGATGAATGGTGAGTGGTGAGCTAGTAGGCTGGATGAATGGTGAGTGGGTGAGTGGTGAGCTAATAGATTGTATGAATGGTGAGCCAGTAGGCTGGATGAATGGTGAGTGGTGAGCTAGTAGGCTGGATGAATGGTGAGTGGGTGAGGGGTGAGCTCGGAAGCTGGGCGTGCGGTGAGCGTGGTGTGCGAGTGACCACCTCCACCGCCCAGCATCTCGGCCGCCAATCGCGGAGTTACCAGCGCGTGAGACGGCGGCGATAGGGGCCCCGTGTCGTCGGGGTTGGACCAGCCACATGGCCCCCGCCCCCACCGCCCCAGTCACCACCCCGTCGCCACCCAGGGCCAGACTGAGACGCGGCTTGCCGAGGGACTGCGACTCGGCGCTGTCGCCACGTGAGTCTCACGCTATCGCCACGTGAAGAATGCGTGGACGAAGGAATGCATTCTTTTTTTAACGAAGGAATGAGCCGATACGTGATTGAAACAATTGACGAGGGAGCTGATGAATGAGTGGATGAACAAGCGGTTGAATGAGTTTAGGAGCGGATGAAAACATTGATAAATTATCACTGAGCCGAGAAACTAGCGAGTGAACCAGAGGATGAATGAGTGAATGAGTCGTTCTCGCTCACTGCATTTCGGTTTTAAAGTGCAACTTCCAGCTTCGTGATATGCTGCCCGTTATTGTTGTGTTGTGTTGTTGGTGTGTATACTGTTATGGGGTTGTATTGTGGCTGTGTTTTTGTACGGTGGTGTTGTGGATGCTATGTTACGTACAGTGAGGGAAAAAGTATTTGATCCCCTGTTGATTTTGTACGTTTGCCCACTAACAAAGAAATGATCCGTCTATAATTTTAATGGTAGGTTTATTTGAACAGTGAGAGACAGAATAACAACAAAATCCAGAAAAACGCATGTCAAAAATGTTATAAATTGATTTGCATTTTAATGAGGGAAATAAGTATTTGACCCCCTCTCAATCAGAAAGATTTCTGGCTCCCAGGTGTCTTTTATACAGGTAACGAGCTGAGATTAGGAGCACACTCTTAAAGGGAGTGCTCCTAATCTCAGCTTGTTACCTGTATAAAAGACACCTGTCCACAGAAGCAGTCAATCAATCAGATTCCAAACTCTCCACCATGGCCAAGACCAAAGAGCTCTCCAAGGATGTCAGGGACAAGATTGTAGACCTACACAAGGCTGGAATGGGCTACAATGATCATAAGAACGGTGAGGAATCAGCCCAGAACTACACGGGAAGATCTTGTCAATGATCTCAAGGCAGCTGGGACCATAGTCACCAAGAAAACAATTGGTAACACACTACGCCATGAAGAACTGAAAACCTGCAGCGCCCACAAGGTCTCCATGCTCAAGAAAGTACATAGACATGCCCGTCTGAAGTTTGCCAATGAACATTTGAATGATTCAGAGGACAACTGGGTGAAAGTGTTGTGGTCAGATGAGACCAAAATGGAGCTCTTTGGCATCAACTCAACTCGCCGCGTTTGGAGGAGGAGGAATGCTGCCTATGACCCCAAGAACACCATCCCCACCGTAAAACATGGAGGTGGAAACATTATGCTTTGGGGGTGTTTTTCTGCTAAGGGGACAGGACAACTTCACCGCATCAAAGGGACGATGGACGGGGCCATGTACCGTCAAATCTTGGGTGAGAACCTCCTTCCCTCAGCCAGGGCATTGAAAATGGGTCGTAGATGGGTATTCCAGCATGACAATGACCAAAAACACACGGCCAAGGCAACAAAGGAGTGGCTCAAGAAGAAGCACATTAAGATCCTGGAGTGGCCTGGCCAGTCTCCAGACCTTAATCCCATCGAAAATCTGTGGAGGGAGCTGAGGGTTCGAGTTGCCAAACGTCAGCCTCGAAACCTTAATGACTTGGAGAAGATCTGCAAAGAGGAGTGGGACAAAATCCCTCCTGAGATGTGTGCAAACCTGGTGACCAACTACAAGAAACGTCTGACCTCTGTGATTGCCAACAAGGGTTTTGCCAGCAAGTATTAATTCATGTTTTGCCGCGGGGTCAAATATTTATTTCCCTCATTAAAATGCAAATCAATTTATAACATTTTTCACATGCGTTTTTCTGGATTTTGTTGTTATTCTGTCTCTCACTGTTCAAATAAACCTAACAATAAAATTATAGACTGATCATTTTTTTGTCAGTGGGCAAACGTACAAAATCAGCAGGGGATCAAATCTTTTTTCCCTCACTGTATGTTATGTTATGGTGTTATTTAGTGTCATTGTAGCTGCGCTGTATTGTTGTGGAGCTTGCCTTGTCGGTATTGTGGTGGCGTTGTGAACGTTGTGTTATCGTGCTGATGTGTGTGTTGGTATTGTGGTGAAGAGTTCTAATTGTGGCATTGTACGTATTGTACGTTGTGGTGTTGTGGTCGAGGGCTGTTGACAGAATTTTTGCTAATTTGAACATGGGGATACTGTCGCAGTCCTGACCCTGACCTGGCCTGAACCTTAACCCTGACCCAGCCCAAACCCTGACCCAGCCCTGACCTTGATACAGCCTTAACCCTGACCCCGCCCCATCCCTGAACCAGCCATAACTGTGACCCAGCCATAACCCCGACCCAGCCTTAACCCTGACCCAGCCTTAACCCTGACCCAGTCCTAACCCTGACCCAGCCTTAACCCTGACCCAGCCTTAACCCTGACCCAACCTTAACCCTGACCCAGTCCTAACCTTGACCCAGCCATAACCCTGACCCAGCCTTAACCCTGGCCCAGCCTTAACCCTGACCCAGCCCTAACCTTTACCCAGCCATAACCCTGACCCAGCCTTAACCCTGACCCAGCCCTAACCCTGACCCAGCCCTAACCCTGACCCAGCCCTAACCCTGACCCAGCCTTAACCCTGACCTAGCCTTAACCCTGACCCAGCCCTAACCCTGACCCAGCCCTAACCCTGACCTAGCCTTAACCCTGACCCAGCTTTAACCCTGACCCAGCCTTAACCGTGACCCAGCCTTAGCCCTGACCCAGCCCTAACCCTGACCCAGCCCTAACCCTGACCCAGCCTTAACCCTGACCCAGCCCTGACCCAGCCGTAACTCTGACCCAGCCCTAACCCTGACCCAGACGTAACTCTGACCCAGCCGTAACACTAACTCTGACCTAACCCTGATCCAGCCGTAACCCTAACTCTGACCTAACCTTGACACAGCCCTGACCCTAGCGCTGACCCTGACCCCACCATAACTATGACCCTGACCATGAGCCCGACTTGAACTCTAACGGTGACGTTGCGAGTGTCACGTGAGAAGGCCGTGTGTGCGGCGGCCCTGGCTGCCGACCAGTGACGTGTGTATGTTGAACTTCTTTCGCACCGTACGTAGCCAACCGTGCTAATCGGAGGTGCGGGGGAAGCGACGAGGAGGCGCCATGGGTGTGGACGGGAGAATTGCCGTGATTAAATACCTCATCTTTATCTTCAACCTCCTCTTCTGCGTGAGTTCACCCCCCTACCCCCCTCCCCGCAAGACACTCCGCGTGCTGTCCACGTGAAATCCTCGACAGCTCTTGCCATGCCGGTCCACTGCTGGCGGAAAACCTCCCCACGCCGCGCCGATCGAAGATGTTGTTTGGCCATACTTCCCCACGCTGGTTGCTGGGTCAGTGCGGGTTGGCGAGGTGCGTAGGTTCATATTGTCACTCGCGACCGATGTTACAGCCGTGGCCGCGAGTCAAACTACGGCCGCACCGAGCGGCGTGTGGACGAATGGCCACGCAAGCCACGTGGCCGACGAGGGGCGTGGGACGACGATGGAAGAGGAACCACCGACCACTGGGTCTCATTTGGGGAACATCTCTCGGCCGTGAGTGGCGGCGCAGTCGCAGCAGCTGCGGACTCCGCGTGCGGCTCGCCCACGCGCGGCACACGTGGCCTTGTTTACTGCGCGTGCGTGTGCGCGTGCGTGTGTGTGGTCCGCATGAGTGTGTACGTGTGTGTGTCTTCCGAGTGTGAGAGTGTGTGTGTGTCGCGCGTCCGTGCGTATGTTCCGTGTGTGTGTTGCGGGCTTGCGTGAGTGTGTGTGTTCCGTGTGAGTGTGTGGATATGCTCCGTGTGTGAGTGTGTATGTATGTTCTGTGTGTGAACGTGTATGTATGTTCTGTGTGTGAGTGTGTATGTATGTTCCGTGTGTGAGTGTGTATGTATGTTCTGTGTGTGTATATGTATGTTCTGTGTGCGAGTGTGTATGTATGTTCTGTGTGTGAGTATGTATGTATGTTCTGTGTGTGTATATGTATGTTCTGTGTGTGAGTGTGTATGTATGTTCTGTGTGTGAGTGTGTATGTATGTTCTGTGTGTGTATGTATGCTCCGTGTGTGTGTGTATATGTATGTTCTGTGTGTGAGTGTGTATGTTCTGTGTGTGTATGTATGTTCCGTGTGTGAGTGTGTATGTATGTTCTGTGTGTGCATATGTATGTTCTATGTGTATGTATGTTCTGTGTATGCATGTTCCGTGTGTGAGTGTGTATGTATGTTCTGTGTGTGAGTGTGTATGTATGTTCTGTGTGTGTGTGTATATGTATGTTCTGTGTGTATGTGTATGTATGTTCTGTGTGTGTGTGTATGTATGTTCCGTGTGTGAGTGTGTATGTATGCTCCGTGTGTGTGTATATGTATGTTCCGTGTGTGAGTGTGTATGTATGTTCCGTGTGTGAGTGTGTATGTATGTTCCGTGTGGTTTTGGTTTTGGCTCGAGTTATATTTAGGGGATTTTTTCTGCTCAATCGCCCAAACTCCACGCCCAGGGGAGAGGGGAGGGGAACGCAGCGGCTCGAGCGAGCGCAGCCTCCTGGGATGTTTTCAGAGCCCAACAACAACAATAATATATCTACGTGTGTCCACGAGTCTATCATTCCTCCTAGATCAACAAGGTGGTGAAAGTTAGCGATGCGTCGTTCCGTAAAGGAACTGCACCAATCAATGAGCCGCAGCAATGTGTCATGTAGATGTCTGCTCTCCTGCTGCCTTAAACATGGAGGACACATTTAGCCCAGCCCTAGCACCTAGACCCAGACCTTGACTCTAACCCTGACCCTGACCCTGACTCTAACCCTGACCCAGACCCTAACCCAGACCCTGACTCTAACCCAGACCCTGATCCTGACTCTAACCCTGACCCAGACCCTAATCCAGACCCTGACTCTAACCCAGACCCAGACCCTGACTCTAACCCTGACCCTAACCCAGACCCTGACTCTAACCCTGACCCAGACCATGACTCTAATCCTGACCCAGCCCCTGACCCTGACCATGACTCTAACCCTGACCCAGACCCTGACTCTAACCCTGACCCACACCCTGACCCAGACCCTGACCCACACCCTGACCCAGATCCTGACTCTAACCCTGACCCAGACCCTGACTCTAACCCTGACCCACACCCTGACCCAGACCCTGACCCACACCCTGACCCAGATCCTGACTCTAACCCTGACCCAGACCCTGACTCTAACCCTGACCCACACCCTGACCCAGATCCTGACTCTAACCCTGACCCAGACCCTGACTCTCACCCTGACCCACACCCTGACCCAGATCCTGACTCTAACCCTGACCCAGACCCTGACTCTAACCCAGACCCTGACCCTGACTCTAACCCTGACCCAGACCCTAACCCAGACCCTGACTCTAACCCAGACCCAGACCCTGACTCTAACCCTGACCCTAACCCAGACCCTGACTCTAACCCTGACCCAGACCATGACTCTAATCCTGACCCAGCCCCTGACCCTGACCATGACTCTAACCCTGACCCAGACCCTGACTCTAACCCTGACCCACACCCTGACCCAGACCCTGACCCACACCCTGACCCAGATCCTGACTCTAACCCTGACCCAGACCCTGACTCTAACCCTGACCCACACCCTGACCCAGACCCTGACCCACACCCTGACCCAGATCCTGACTCTAACCCTGACCCAGACCCTGACTCTAACCCTGACCCACACCCTGACCCAGATCCTGACTCTAACCCTGACCCAGACCCTGACTCTCACCCTGACCCACACCCTGACCCAGATCCTGACTCTACCCCTGACCCAGACCCTGACTCTAACCCAGACCCAGACCCTGACTCTAACCCTGACCCTGACCCAGACCCTGACTCTAACCCTGACCCAGACCCTGACTCTAACCCTGATTCTAACCCTGACCCAGACCCTGACTCTAACCCTGACTCTAACCCAGACCCTGACGCAGACTCTAACCCAGACCCTGAATCTCACCCTGACCCAGACCCTGACCCAGACCCTGACCCAGACCTTGACTCTCACCCTGACCCAGACCCTGACTCTAACGCTGACCCAGACCCTGACTCTAACGCTGACCCTGACCCAGACCCTGACTCTCACCCTGACACAGACCCTGACCCAGACCCTGACTCTCACCCTGACCCAGCCCCTGACACAGACCCTGACCCAGGCCTTGACTCTCACCCTGACCCAGGCCCTGACACAGACCCTGACCCAGACCTTGACTCTCACCCTGACCCAGGCCCTGACTCTAACCCAGTGATGCTATCCCCCAACCATGACCCTAACCGAGACCCGAAACCTCACCAGGACCCGAACGCTATCCGACACCCAAACCCCGTGTCTACCTCTGACTGTAACACGATCCCACACCCAAACCCAGCCGTATGTCACGAGAATGTGGAATTTCCACCTCTGGCACGGGTTTCCCGCCCCAGCCCCGTAGTGCTGAGCACCTCCTGACCGCACGCGACCCCCCCCCCCCCCCCCCCAGCTCTCCAGCCTGTGCCTCGTCGCGGTCGGGGCTCTGATGCTGAGCGACTCGGACGCCGTCCTCAGCGACGCGCCGACCGTCGCCTCGCTCTGCGTCATGGCCCTGGGCCTCGTCGTCTTCCTCGTCTCCTTCTTCGGCTGCTGCGGGGCGCAGCGCGAGAGCCACTGCATGATGGCCACGGTGAGGCCCCGACTCGCACTCGCGCCACTCCAGTCGGCGTCGCTCGTCGTGGTGTGCGCTCTGCTGAGGCCACGTGGGGCGTCTCCGTCTCTGTGCGCCGCAGTTCTCTGCTCTGATGTTCCTGATCTTCTTCCTGGAGCTCGGGCTCGGAGTCACCGCCTACTTCTTCAGACACCAGGTGCGTGCCCTGCACGCTCACGCTGCCCCGAGCCAGTGGTGGGAATTCCGCATTCATATGCCGGTTCCGGTCTATCCGTAAAGCAACCGTTGTTAACGCTTCCCGCTGTGCAGCGGCCCGCAGGGGTTTTGCGCGCTGAACTGACGACCCCGGCAACCTGAGTTTGATCCCTGGCTCTGGCTAACATCGGTGGCGAGTGAAATCTGAACCGGCCATGCACCTCCCTTAGGTCAACTCGAATTTACATGAGCATCTGGTGCGTAAACATCGGCACCGGGGAGACAAAGGTGGCTGGGCGTGATTCTGTCCACATCACCCCATTGTTGTGCTCGCGAACAGTGCCCCTACAGTCTGTTCAAGGCTATCGGAGGATCTCGCACCCCTTTTCTACAAACTAAACTATTTTTTTTATTTAACCAGGTACACGAACTGAGCTACGTAGCTCTTTTTAAGAAGCGACCTGGCCACAAATAGTAGCCCGACGAAGTGGCTTATCACGTGGACATTTATAGCTGCAGCCAAAGTCTCTAAACGCGTGACGATGATTATAAATGTGGAGGGGAAAACCGGAGGACCCGGATAAAAATCCACGCGACCACGTGGAGAGAGACACGCAAACTCCAAATATACAGCAGCAGGCGTCAGGGTCGGGATCGAGCCCACGACCTCCTGCATGCCAGGCGAGTGAGTGAACATCTCCAAGCCACCCTGGCGCCCACCGGCACATCACAGCCATGGCAATGTGGGTGGGTGGCGATTAACGGAGCGGACCCAGAACCGGAAACCGTGAAACTCACGAGAAGGGCCGCGGGCGGGGTTCACCGAAACTTCCCCTTGCGTTACGTCGGCGGCACGGCGCGGCTTCCGCAGTGGAAAAACAACCCCCCGGTGCTACCCAAACCGTGCCGGGTTGTCTCGGCACAGCCCCAGCGCGGTTCGGGTATGCAAGTGGAAAAATAAAAATTGGGTGAATGACGACGCGTGTGGGGGTGGGGGTGCAGGTGCGTGAGCTGGTGGAGGTGAAGGTGTGGAAGCTGCTGGAGAAGCACCCCGAGGCGACGGTGGACGATCTTCTGGGGAAGATGCAGACCCAGGTGAGAGCCACGGAGCCGCGGGCACCGGCGCCACCGTCACGAGCCACGTGCTCTGTCCACTGCTGCATGAAAACCTCCCCATTATTATTATCGTTGTCGTCATCACAATGAGCCATTGTCTGTCAACTACCGGATGAAGGCCTCCTCCATGCCATCATCATCATCAACATCGAGAAGCACGGCCTACCCACTGCTGGCTTGAAACCTCTCCACGCCGTCATCAGGAGCCTCGAGAAGGCGCTCGCTGAGAGCGCTTGTTCCGGCAGTCTGAGTGGGCTACACGGGGGATCTTTGTCTGGTCTTCGTGCAGCTCAAGTGCTGCGGGGTGACCTCCTTCGACAACTGGTTCGCCTCCAGCAACAGCAGCGGCAGCAACAGCAACAGCAGCAGCGGCAGGGTCCCCGACAGCTGCTGCATCTACCCCCGGGAGCGTTGTGGAGACAACGTGGATGCGAGCACCGCCTCCGCAGTGATCTACACCGAGGTGCGGCCGGATCGCAAACCGCTGGCCCTACCCCATGCCCGCTCGTCCACATGCTCACCTGTGCACAAGTCAGAAGGGTCACCTGGGCGCTTCCCGCGGGCGCTCACCTGGGCACTCGCTTGAGTGGCTCATCTGGGCGCCCACAGGAATGCGGTGTGTACTGTGTGTGTGTACTCCATGCGGTTGCACTGCGTGTGTGCTGCGTGTGCTTCGCGCTGCGTGTGTGCCGCGTGTGTGTACTCCATGTGGTTGCACTGCGTGTGTGCTGCGTGCGTGCTGCGTGCTGTGTGTGTGCTGCGTGTGTCCCAGGGCTGCCTGTCCATGGTGGAGTCGATCTTGCTCCAGAACGCGTTGCTCGTGGGCGGCGTTGCCCTCGGCCTGGCGCTCATCCAGGTGATGTTCATGATGGACGCTGCTGATGATGATGGACGCTGCTGATGATGGACGCTTATGGTGATGATGATGGATACTAATGATGATGATGTTGGACGCTGCTGATGATTATGACGGATACTAATGATGGATGATGATGATGACGGATACTAATGATGGATGATGATGATGATGACGGATACTAATGATGGATGATGATGATGACGGATACTAATGATGGATGATGATGAGGGATACTAATGATGGATGATGATGACGGATACTAATGATGGATGATGATGACGGATACTAATGATGGATGATGATGATGACGGATACTAATGATGGATGATGACGGATACTAATGATGGATGATGATGATGATGACGGATACTAATGATGATGATGATGACGGATACTAATGATGGATGATGATGATGATGACGGATACTAATGATGGATGATGATGATGATGATGACGGATACTAATGATGGATGATGATGATGACGGATACTAATGATGGATGATGATGAGGGATACTAATGATGGATGATGATGACGGATACTAATGATGGATGATGATGACGGATACTAATGATGGATGATGACGGATACTAATGATGGATGATGATGATGACGGATACTAATGATGGATGATGATGACGGATACTAATGATGGATGATGATGACGGATACTAATGATGGATGATGATGATGACGGATACTAATGATGGATGATGACGGATACTAATGATGGATGATGATGATGATGACGGATACTAATGATGATGATGATGACGGATACTAATGATGGATGATGATGATGATGACGGATACTAATGATGGATGATGATGATGATGGATACTAATGATGGATGATGATGATGATGACGGATACTAATGATGGATGATGATGATGATGACGGATACTAATGATGGATGATGATGATGACGGATACTAATGATGGATGATGTTGACGGATACTAATGATGGATGATGATGATGATGACGGATACTAATGATGGATGATGATGACGGATACTAATGATGGATGATGATGATGACGGATACTAATGATGGATGATGATGATGACGGATACTAATGATGATGATGACGGATACTAATGATGGATGATGATGATGATGATGACGGATACTAATGATGATGATGATGACGGATACTAATGATGGATGATGATGATGACGGATACTAATGATGGATGATGATGATGACGGATACTAATGATGGATGATGATGATGACGGATACTAATGATGGATGATGATGATGATGACGGATACTAATGATGGATGATGATGATGACGGATACTAATGATGGATGATGATGATGACGAATACTAATGATGGATGATGATGATGACGGATACTAATGATGGATGATGATGATGACGGATACTAATGATGGATGATGATGATGATGACGGATACTAATGATGGATGATGATGATGATGGATACTAATGATGGATGATGATGATGATGACGGATACTAATGATGGATGATGATGATGATGACGGATACTAATGATGGATGATGATGATGACGGATACTAATGATGGATGATGATGACGGATACTAATGATGGATGATGATGACGGATACTAATGATGGATGATGATGACGGATACTAATGATGGATGATGATGATGACGGATACTAATGATGGATGATGATGATGACGGATACTAATGATGGATGATGACGGATACTAATGATGGATGATGATGATGACGGATACTAATGATGATGATGATGACGGATACTAATGATGGATGATGATGATGATGACGGATACTAATGATGGATGATGATGATGACGGATACTAATGATGGATGATGATGATGACGGATACTAATGATGGATGATGATGATGATGACGGATACTAATGATGGATGATGATGATGACGGATACTAATGATGGATGATGATGATGACGAATACTAATGATGGATGATGATGATGACGGATACTAATGATGGATGATGATGATGACGGATACTAATGATGGATGATGATGATGATGACGGATACTAATGATGGATGATGATGATGATGGATACTAATGATGGATGATGATGATGATGACGGATACTAATGATGGATGATGATGATGATGACGGATACTAATGATGGATGATGATGATGACGGATACTAATGATGGATGATGATGACGGATACTAATGATGGATGATGATGACGGATACTAATGATGGATGATGATGATGATGACGGATACTAATGATGGATGATGATGATGACGGATACTAATGATGGATGATGATGATGACGGATACTAATGATGGATGATGACGGATACTAATGATGGATGATGATGATGATGACGGATACTAATGATGATGATGACGGATACTAATGATCGATGATGATGATGATGATGATGACGGATACTAATGATGGATGATGATGATGACGGATACTAATGATGGATGATGATGATGACGGATACTAATGATGGATGATGATGATGATGACGGATACTAATGATGGATGATGATGATGACGGATACTAATGATGGATGATGTTGATGACGGATACTAATGATGGATGATGACGGATACTAATGATGGATGATGATGATGATGACGGATACTAATGATGGATGATGATGTTAACGGTGAAAGTGATTGCTTGTGCCCTGGCATGAAAGCCCAGAAGCCCATTATCGGACCTTCCCAAGGGACAGCAGTGGGGGAGGGGGGGGGGAGCTGAGATGTGAAACTGTTCAACAGCGCCCGGCCTCCTGTGGGTATCCTCGAATAAATCCCATCACAGCCCCAGCTGTGAGATGCACTGCTGGCCCAGCCAGACTCGATCATCAAATCTAAGACTTTCACAGCTTTGCTCCGCTTGGCTCTCATCAGCTCGCCCTCTGCCCTGCCTCCTCCTCCAGATAATCAGCATCATCCTCGCCTGCTGCCTCATGAAGGGAATCCGCGACTTCCACAAATACGACGTTGCCGAAATTGAGCCGTGCCCTGCCTCCAAGTGGGACCGCGGGGTCACCCTCGAGTGACCCCCCCCCCCCCCCCCCGCTGGGGTCACCCTCGAGTGACCCCCACCCCCCCCCCCCCGCTGGGGTCACCCTTGAGTGACCCCCACCCCCCACCCCCGCTGGGGTCACCCTCGAGTGACCCCCACCCACCCCCCCCCCCCGCTGGGGTCACCCTCGAGTGACTCCACCCACCCCTCCCCCCCCCGCTGGGTTCACGACTGCTCCTTCCATGGATGAGACGAGGGTTTGGCGATTGAGTCTGTGGTTTGAATACATCTGTGCGGCGCTACAAGTGTTACCCCCTCTGTATGCGTGCTGAGATGACCTCCCGAGTTCACGGGCAGCCTTCCCAGTGCAGCAGCAGCAGCGGCAGCGGCAGCAGCAGCCCCCTCCTGAGAAGCCCCGAGCCCCCGGCTGGACCCCGGCCGCGTCCGTCCGACTCGGCGTCCCCCGAAAATATTTCCAACCCCGGCACACCGCATCCAGTATACCGCTCGCCACGGCTGCTTCTAGTCACGAACCCACCAACTCCCGTCGATCGGCGATCCGGGAAATATCCCGTGAGGAATGAATCCCTTGGGAAGCCGCGATCCGTGACCCGACGCGCCGCTCGCGGCCATCTCGCGGCGTCACCCCCCTAGCAGCGGCGGGCGGCCGCGCTCGCACGGTTTCCGGGTCGCGCCGCGTCTTGTCCGGTGCGAAACGTCGGACATCGTACACCGCGATACGCGGTGCGGCCCGCAATTCACGTGTGGGAGACGTGGCAGCGGGAACCTCGTTAGCCCCGACCACGTCTCGTGCCTCGCAGCAGGAAGAACCTGGGTTCGATTCCCGACCCGGGCGCCCTTCTGTGTGGAGTTTGTGTGTTCTCTCTCCCCCCGTTCTGCGTCGGGTTCCTCCCAGAGCTAAAGCAAAACCCCCACACAATGTAACAACCGGTACTGGGGCCAAAACATCGCAATGCTCACAAATGACCTGCAAACTACTCAACTGGGCTCACACTCAGCAGCGACATCGCCTCTTGCTCCTGCGAAATCGTGGCAGAACCCTCCTGAAGATAAATCTTGGGACTCCGTGACGCTATCCCCGGGTAAACAGGCGAAATAATCAAACGTATACGATATTCTTCATTGTACTTTTGATACGAGTGAGTTAGTGGATACAATATTGGCTGCTAAAGAGTTGGTTTCGTACCCAGTGTCTGCGAATCTCCCCACGGGCCCAGTGTAATGCACCGTCTCCAGCTACAGTTAAGGCTCTGTGACCTCGCTCTCTTCTGAGGATGGGCTATTGCCTGAACCGTCAGCATATTCAATATTGTCCTGTTCGAAGGCAGAGCTTATGACAAATGTGGTGCGTCCTCTTGAGAGATACAGATACAACGATGCACAGAGACACAGACAGCTGGAGATATATTGAATACCCAAAGACCTACAGGAATGAATGTCTATGTAGTGTAAAGACCAAAGTGTGAATCCACTGCTGGATGAGGGGGCCTTCCTACACCACGCGGGTCGTGGCAGTTATTTGACCATACTTCAGCACGCTGGTCAGTGCGGGTTGGTGAAGGCTGTAAGCATAATAGACAGTGTCGGATTATCCTCGTAGCAAACGTAGCTACATATGTGTAATGGCCTTATTGACGTCGGAGACTGTTCTTTGGAGGCAACACGTATTTATTACAGACGCTTCAATTACAGACGCTTCAATTACAGTGGCGAATCTGATACTTGAAGAGGTAACGGCCTCTTCACCCGTACTCTATAGAGGGAACGTTCCCCGAGCCTTAGCCCACGCTAGCTCCCTGGTTCCCTCGATCCTGGTCCTCAGGAGGCTATCTGGCCTGGCCCAGCTTCGGCGCAGGTCCCGATCACCAGCCACACGAGTCCGGCCCTCAGAAGGACAGTGGGCCAAAGGAGTTCCAGGGTCTGGCTAGTCGATCTTCTTTCTTCGCTGGCTCTTCATCTTGCTTGAGTCGACCTGCCTCTCAGCTCTTCGGGTCCCACCTTTTATACTGTCCCTCTCTGAGGGGCGGGGCTGGGAGGGATCACAGCATCCCCCACAGCCCCCCAGGGTGGTGGCCGTAGCGGACGTGGTTGTGGCCACCGCCCTACAACCGCGTGTTACCCTCCTGTAACACCTCTACATACGTAGCTACGGGCCCCGCACTTTCAATGGCCCCGTGCTAAATGCTTTCAAGCTATCAATTCCAATTCAGTGATTCTACACTTGCTCTGTTACTATAGTACTAGACTGCCTTAAACTTATACGAACGACTGGGTGTTTAAGGTTAGCGATTTGTCGTATTATCTGGCTGTATAGCAAATGAAAAAACAATTACTTTACAATGCAAGTAAAAAATTTGTGTTTTAATTCTAGATTTGAAGCTTTCGTGACTGCAAGGATTCATACTCTTTGTTTTTTTTGGTAAAGTCACGTAGGTAAAATAAAATAAAAGAAAACAACTAAATTAAATCACGACGTTTCGGACACAGATATCTGTGACACAGATATTCTGTTGTGACTGTTCCACCTGAAGACGGAAGCTTGTGTTGCTTCCGAAACGTCGTGATTTAATTTAGTTTTTTTATTTAATTGTGTTTTAATATGTAAGTGTTTTTTGTTATTCTAGGGCCCCTTTATAACATATGCGACAGGCCCCGCACGAGCTTCATCCGGCACTGATAATAGACATTGGAGTTTAGTAAAGTACAACAAGGTGATGTTATTTTGGCTGCCCGCCAAGTAAACCCAGCGGCGACTTCTATGACAACATCTCTGTCTTTGTGTGCGCGTGCTGCGTCGCCCACCCAAGCGCTATGCAGGCCCAAACCTGCTGAGGTTTCTGAGATCTGATGGGCGTGTGGATAGACGGAGATCATGAGCCCGACGGATGTAGAGGATGGAGAGACACTCCGGCGGGGTGGCTCGGCCGTCGAGCGAGCATCTCACGATCGACAAACGGCGCAGTTCCCCTCCTGGTTGAGGGCTCGGCTCGGCACATCAACGCTCCGGAGTTGATAAACTTGGTACCACTGGGGGTCTCAGGAGTGGCTGTTCTGTGGAGAGACGTGCCCCGTGTTCGGTGGAGTAGGAAACCATCTCGAGCTTTGCTCGACGGACAGAGCGTCGGCTTCGTCACAAAAGGCGCGTGCGAGTCCAGTGACGTCAGGACCCCCCACGTGGGCGGGGCGGGGCGCCCTGCCCACGTGGTTACAAAGGACTTGGAGCAATGCGGCTTCGCGTGATTAGGCGTGTTACCTCCTCCCCTACCTATCGCCTACCTGCCTTGTACATGCCCGCCTACCTACCAAACCTTACCCCTACCCACCTCCTCACCCACCCATCCACCCACCCGTCCACCCACTCACCTACCGTCCTACACACTCATCCACCCACCGATCCACCCACCCACCTACCCACCTACTCACCGACCCACCCAGCCTATTAATAAAGTGTTTTTTTTTCTGAGCTATTCGGTAGATAATAGAGTTAATGGTAGCGAAGAATGCTCGTGCTGTTAACATTTAATGATGGATTCAATAAAGTGACAAAAATACAACTTGTGTCTGTGTATTAAGTGTGGAGTGTTGACTTCTGCTCGTGGCAGAGTACAGACAGGTGATACCAGGTGAGTCCAGGTGATACCAGTGAGTCTAGGTGATACCAGGTGAGTCCAGGTGATACCAGGTGATACCAGGTGAGTCCAGGTGATACCAGGTGAGACCAGGTGAGTCCAGGTGATACCAGGTGAGTCCAGGTGATACCAGGTGAGTCCAGGTGAGTCCAGGTGATACCAGGTGAGTCCAGGTGATACCAGGTGATACCAGGTGATTCCAGGTAATACCAGGTGAGTACAGGTGATACCAAGTGAGTCTAGGTGACACCAGGTGAGTCCAGGTAATACCAGGTGAGTACAGGTGATACCAGGTGATACCAGGTGAGTCCAGGTGATACAAGGTGATACCAGGTGAGTGCAGATGATACCAGGCGAGTCCAGGTGATACCAGGTGATACCAGGTGAGTGCAGGTGATACGATGTGAGACCAGGTGATACCAGGTGAGTGCAGGTGATATCAGGTGATACCAGGTGAGTCCAGGTGATACCAGGTGAGTCCTGTGAGTCCAGGTGATACCAGGTGAGTGCAGGTGATACCAGGTGATACCAGGTGAGTCCAGGTCATACCAGGTGAGTGCAGGTGATACCAGGTGATACCAGGTGATACCAGGTGAGTGAAGGTGATACCAGGTGATACCAGGTGAGTCCAGGTGATACCAGGTGATACCAGGTGAGTTCAGGTTATACCAGGTGAGTCCAGGTGAGTGCAGGTAATACCAGGTGATACCAGGTGAGTCCAGGTAAGTTCAGGTGAGTCCAGGTGATACCAGGTGAGTGCAGGTGATACCAGGTGATACCAGGTGAGTGCAGGTGATACCAGGTGATACCAGGTGAGTCCAGGTGATACCAGGTGAGTGCAGGAAGAGACGCAACTGTGGTGGGAGACGGGCCAGAGTTACTCGACGCGTCGGCGGCCAGTCGGCCACAAGCAGGCCCTGGTCTCACCTGGTCTCACCTGGTCTCACCTGATCTCACCTGGTCTCACAGATAAACAAGCAGCAGCAGCAACATGGTTAGAGTGGTTTTCTAAATTCATTAAAAATACTCTTTGGTTTTCTCGGTAAAGTCACGTAGGTAAAATAAAATTAAAAATAAAATAAAACAACTAAATTAAATCACGACGTTTCGGAGGCAACACAAGCTTCCGTCTTCAGGTGGAACAGTCACGGCAAGATAGCTGCATCAAGTGAAAAAATAACCTGCGGTCACCCATGGGCCAAGCCCGTTTACCGCATCTGGCTATCGTCATATCAAGAGTAGCAGAAAGTTGCGCGCTCCACCCCCTTTGAGGAAATCCTCTAGCGATGGGGCCGTCACGCAGGGCAACTTGTGAGCATTGCAACCTGAACATCTCTCTGTGGACACTGTCACCGCGAGACGTCTTCCCCGAAACCCAGTACACGATGCAACTACAATAATCTGTAGAGTTATAGCCGAC